TAGAATAGAATAGAATAGAATAGAATAGAATAGAATAGAATAGAATAAAATAGAATAGAACAGAACCACTGAGGTTGGAAAAGACCTCTAAGATCATCAAGTCCAACCATCAACCCATTGCCATGATACCCACCAAACGATGTCCCCAGGTGTCACACATCCACAGCTGCTCTTTACATTAGGTAACAGGTTAGATGGTGACCACAAATGACACCAACTGGGTGATGCTAGCACAGTCTCACCCCAATCTATGTCCTCTTGGACTTCTTCCCCTGCCTATACTGCTATTGTGGGGCACACACCTGTGGTTGCTTTTCTGCTCACCACTGGCCCCTCAACATCTCCAAAGATGGGGTTGATGGTGACAGTGTATTCTGTGCCAGGCTGCAGCCCTTGGATCATGTAGTAGCTGTAGGTGCTGCTGAGGTTCACATCCTGGATGCTGCCATCTGCAAATGGAAATGATGGTTGATGAATAGGTCAGGCCAAGAAGGACCACCCAGCTGGGATCCTACAAACGATCACTTAAGGATTATATGGTTGCATGAGATTGGATGGCATTTGTGCTCCTAGCTTGCACGTGTGCCCATGAGGTCCTCAAACCAAGGACAGTAGAGACAGGGCACAATAAGCACAAGTCTTTGTTGAGGAGATGATGGAAATAACCCACACCACCCAAAAATCACCAACAGATCAAGGTGATTTGGGGCTTTTCAGGTCCAAGAAATCAGGTAGCGACAGAAAAATCATAAAATCATTAAGATTGGAAAAGATCAATCAGATCATCAAGTCCAACTGCACACCCATCCCCACCATATCCACTATGCCATGTCCCTCATTGACACATCTACCCTTTTCTTGAACACCTCAAGGAATGGTGACCCCATCAGCTCCCTGGGCAGCCTGTTCTGAATGAATGTATATGGGGCTCAGAGCAGTCCTCTAACAGGATCCACACTCTGTCCAGCCCTGGGTGAGTTAGTGTTGGAGCCATCCTTCCTTCCCTGCTGGACATGGGAGACGAAATGCCACAAAAGACATATTCTCCATTGGTTTTGTATCCCTGCTACAGACTAGAATACTCTCAGCAGAACTTCTCAGCATCATTCTAGAGGGAGGCATGAACAGAGAAGAGTTAATACCTAATCCCTGCCGGTCGCAGCTCGTTTTCGGAGAAGCAGAGAGATGCTGGCAACACGATGGGAGTGAGGGAGGGGTGAGCGGAGGGATGCCATTTCCAGTTTGGTCACTGGAGGGTGCCATGTCCCCATTTTCTGCTTCCATCAGCACCCTGCGCCCCATCCCCCTCTCCCAACCCATACACTATGGACTGTTATAAGGAGTTGGTTTGTTTTTGACTATTCTCTGTTAAAGAGGAAAAATCAACATCCTCCAGAACCCGGGATGGCTGAACGGGGACGGTCAGCATTGATCCCAGCACCACTGTAATGCATGACCTGGAATGGGATGGAGTGTGGGAGAACAGTGGTGATGGTGGGCTTTTTGTCACCCCTGGATTTGGGGTGAGCTGGTATTGAGTGAAAGATCTGCTCATATACAATAAACCCAGCACAGAAGTGATGTGATCACACTTTGGCTGAACACATCTTGCTCATTCCCCTTGAGAAGAGGTGGGAGGCTGAGGGTGCTCTATTTGGCTTATAAATCAAAGACTGGATAAAAAGCAGTTTTGGGGTGTGCTTGGATTTCTTTTTACAGAGAACCATTCTTTACAAAACAATAAAAGCAGTGTTATACCTTCCCTGGAAAGATTTTTCCCTTCTGATTACCTTAGAGCTGTTCTCCATCTAATCCCCTCCATCTCCAGTGAGAAATCTCTTCTTATTTCATAAGCCATAGGAAGGAATGCTGGTTTTTTTCAAAGTTTGTGATGGAGTCCAGGTGTCCTGACACACATCTCATCTTTGAACCACAGAATCATCCATCTCTCAAGGCTAAAATATGCCATCAAGCCTGAATTTCTAACTCCTGTTCCCCCACACCAGCAATGAAGCTATGTTTGGGTTCAGGGCATGGAGAAGCTCCAGCTGCAAATGCAGATCTGTCTTCAAACACAAAAATCTGCCTGAGAAAGAGGGTACAATATGGGATGCTGGCAGATTAAGTCAGGTCTTGGTGCAACAGACCCAAAAAACCTGGAAATCATTTGAGTTGGAAGGGACCTTTAAAGCTCATCTAGTCCAACTGCCCTGCAGTGAACGGACACCTACAGCTAGCCTTTGCCAATTGTTGTTGCATGCTCAGCAGAAAACTGGTCAGTGCTTCCAGTGCCTCCCCACCTCCCTGACCACCAATGCTTGCACCCCTTTCCCGTGCTTTTACCTGCTGATGTCCAGGTGAGCCTGTAGCCCGTTGCACCCCGGACAGAGCTCCACCGCATCTGGAGTGTATCAGTGGTCTCATTCTGCAGCAAGATGCTCCTCACAGGCAGGGGCTTCACTGGAAGGACAGGGAACAAATATTTCAAAGTGCATACTGACCACCAGAGGACTTTGTTGGCTGCCCTCCTGGTGCTGTTGTCTCCACTGATTGGAGAGGGATTTCCGAGGGCTCTGTCTTTGCCTGGAAGGACGAAAGCATCTTATGAAAATAGTGATGAGAAAACCTAAACCTATGGCCATTGCTTTTCAGGACTGATCCTTCACGGGCAACATTGCTTGCTTTCTGCAGCATGGGCACATAACAGATCTCCTTCCTTTCCTCTTGACTGGTGTGGTGTGGCCACATCCCATGCATGTGATGAGGGAAGAGCATGGCTCAAGGATGGACTTAGGAAGGACCTGTTGAGCAATGCTCTTTTGGTGCACACTTGCCACATGCCCAATGGTGGGGTGCTTATCAACAGCAAAGAGTGAATGCAGTGCCCAAAGCAAGAAGGAGTCAAGGAGTCAAACCTCTTACATGTTCTCCCCATGGCAGTCACGGGCTGGCTTGGACCCTGGGGGTACACTGCATAGATGCTGATGCTGTACTCTCTATCCTCCTGCAAGTTATCTAGCACATGGGAGGAGACATCACCCTGCAGAACCCACTCGTAGGTCATTCCAGGTCTGTTGGCTGAAAAACCAAGGAGAAGAGTGATGGTGAAGCCTTCCCAGTGCCTAAAGTCTACACCCCATTGCAATGTACTCAAGGCAAAAGCAAAGAGCATGCCTTTGAAATTTTGCTAACCCTCGGGTCTGTAGTTAAGACTTGATGCATCTGTGCTGTCCCCAGCCCCACAAATCACACAGAGGTGAATGTTGGCTATACCAAAGGCTTGAACTCATCCCACATGCACACCAAAGCAGGCACTTATGAAAAATATCCAAGGTGGTAGTGCAAACAGTAAAATGCATCCTCACCATCATTCCTATATCTTCCTTCAAAAGATTCTTGTCCTTCATTCTAGAGGAACTATACTGACTGGAAAAACTAACTCGGCTTTATTCTGGAGTGATATCACTCTTTTCTTGGATGAAAAGGCACCTTTTCTGCTCTCGGGTCACTGCTCTTTTCAAAGCAAGCTCCAAGGAAACCAAACTCACCTCCAGGGATGTAGACTTTGTAGCCTTCCAGCTTGCCCAGGGGAGGAGTCCAAGCAACCTTCAAGCTAAAAAGTCCTTCTTCAATCACACGGAAATTAGTGACTGGAGGCACTGGTGCTATGGGATACAAAAATTGATGGAACAGTGCTTTAATAGAGAGCCACATCAAAGACACCTGGAAAAGCTTTTGACTTCAAAGACAAAGAGACAAAACAGCGAGCAGCAACATTTCTCCCTATTCTATCAGCCATATCCTCAAAAGTAAACTCTCCCCTTGATCACAGCCTTGTCCACTTAAAAAATGGGCATAAAAACCCCGTGACAGAGTGCCTGGGGGCTTCCTCTTTGAATGGCGTTGGAAACTGCGAAGTATCTACCCACAGGGCATTGTCTCCTGAGCAGAGAAAACTCCGCAGTGGTTTCAGGCAGGCTGAGCAAGAACACATGAATCAAATGTTACTTGTACCTATGGATGCGACTCTTAGAAAGAGGAGCCCATTTCGATCCAGCCAGCCATGGCAGGCAGATTTATAGCTCCTGCCTCTGCCTTCATGTTGGGGATAATAAGAGAAGAGATCAAATGACTTTATCCCAACCCATAGAGCCATTCCATCTTATTTGTGGCAAGTACATATGAGTCAACCTTATTGAGGCTCTTTATTTATTCATCCTGTCAGAGATCTTCCCTCAAGAAGACAAACAATTTAGACATTGCGGAGATAGGGAGAAGAAGTAAAAGAAAAGGAAAAAGGAATCATTATTTTCAAAACCCCCTGGGCAAAGCAGGCTTGGTTCTTCATGCAAAACAGAGGGAGGAGTACAACTACTGTACTCCTTTAGCCTTTACATCATCTGAAAGTAGTGGAGAGATTTCTGGGTCAAAACTTGCTGAATTTGTCACTTCTGACCCAATGTCTTACAGTCCAGGGCTTGACCAAGAGTCCATTTACTTTTTTGTTTCCAAGAACCTCATTGTTACAGCCAGCAATATGACAGCAAAGGAATGTGGTGTGGCTGACTGTAATCCAGGAGATATCTAGATCATTTCACGGGACAGAGATCACTACTTAGGACATTTCCTAAGGGCCATGATCTTGCTCCCTTGGTGTTCTTCTTAAGTGAAGTGAAATTCTAAGTAGTACACAATGCCAACCCAAAGTTTTTGGTCCATCTGCTTCCAAACCAAGATATTTAGAACGTACATCTCTCCATAAAACTCATGTTTCTAAACACATGGTGTCCAGAAGCTTCTTTCATCCTATGTACATTAGAGTTACAGTAACTGAAGCCCAGTCTGGATTCATCAAATTCCACATCACAGCACACGAGATGAGCTATCCAATGGGCTGTACACATGGCACATGGTACATGGTTGGGTTACTCTGCATCTGCTCATAGTGCTTCACTCCACACCAGGGACATTTCTATAGATGTTTCTCCTACTCCTACATCCCCCACTCCTTGGGTATATGATACTGAGGTGGTTTCTTTTCCTGTGCCCACATGAACAAGAAGATGGAATGGTTTCAGTAGAGACACTCACTGGTTTTCCCCTTGACTGCTGCTGACTCTCCGAGGGCATCTGTATAGACGGCTCTCACTGTGAAGACGTACTTGGTGTTGGGTTTCAGATCAGTCACCAGCACAGTGCATTTGTCACCATCCACCAAAATCTGTCACACAGGTGGACGAGAGTTATCATTACATCTCTGTGAGGGTAGAAGATTCCCACATTCACAGCAGTTTAGAAGCACAAGGCTTCTCCTCTAGTGCAAGGTGCTTCCATGAGCAGGATCAGTGCACTGCAATCCTTGAAAGATACCCAGGCTCTCAAGGGACATGTCACTGACACGGGATAACGCCAAAGCTGGATCACATGCAGTAGAAACTCCATGAAAACAAGAACATTCACAATGGTGAGGGTCCCCAGTCCTCACCTTAAGGAAAATGGAGGAAAACCCACTATTTTTGACAAAGAGAGTTTCTTTGAAGCTCATATAGGGAAATTTCAATATTGCCTGAGGGCGAAAGAAATAAACATAACTTCTGTGTTTTTATGATGTTCTTATGAGATTCTGAAGCAGTCAAGGATGATCATTCTTGTTAAATGCAATCTGAATAATTAATACAATTAATAATCTTAACTTTAATATTTTATGCTTTCATAGGTTTGTTCTGTTATTAGAAATGAAAGCTTTCAGGCATACATTTTCTATCCTTCAGTCCTGCTTTGTTCAGTGACCAAGCTGTCCCAGAGTGAGCTGGTACACAGCATCATCCTTCTCACAAAGATATGGGAAAATAAAAACGTGCAGAAACCCTACCAAGATTTAAGGATGGCAACAAGAAGAATAGGAGCTGCTGTGGACTTATTTGAGAGGTCATGTCACAGAAGTAGGGAAAGAAAGGAGTGGTTCCCATCGACTTGTTCTTATCCATCCCAACAGAGTTAATGACAGCTTGTGTCATATTCTCCTTCCTTTCTTCCTTCCCTGCCTCACTCTCATAGTAATGCCATCATGCACAAACAATCGACGCATCTGCAAATTTGATGGTCCCCTATAGACCTTCACTTCAAAAAAGCAGTTTCAGCAGTTTATGGGGATGCACTCAGCCATGACCTGGATGGCTGAGTGATACAGTGCCATCTCCCACCTGGACTGTGCCATCAACAGCCTCGGGAGAGGATAAATCTCCAACACTGTGAGCACAACTGGGGCTCTACAACATGGGAATGCAAGCCTACCTGCTGCTGATCCTCCAAAACTGGCTGTCCTGAAGGCAACAAGGGATACACACGGACACGGTACCCCATCACCCTCCCTGTAGCTGGCATCCACGTGAACCTCAGAGAGCTGTGGCTGTGCTCACTCACACGCAGATCCCGGGGGCCGATGATCTTCTCAACTGCAAAAGAAGATAAGGGTCTTTTGTTTGGACCACGATGGCACTGGTGTTGGATGCGTGAAGGTCTTTCACTGGGGGAGTCAGAATATTCAGTGCAGAGAAAGAATTTGGTGTTGGACTTTATCCACAAAGTTCTCCCAAGCTCTGCTCTAAGCTTTTTGAATTTATCTTTTTCGGGTTCCAAGAGAACAGTAAGAACTCATTGCCACCACCTCTGGACTTGGACATCTGCATCTTTTGGGAGAGATCTAGATCTCTATTGGGATCTTTTTATATGCTCTTCGCATCTTCATAAGGATGAAAATTATACTCAAGACTATGCTATCACAGTTCACCATGATAAGCCCATCATGAAAATCCCAAGGTGCAGAACTACTGCGCCAAAATATTGCTACTCTCCTGTCAAAAAGACAGTAAGAACTTCAGCATCTGGTATCACAGAATCATAAAGGTTGAAAAGACAACTAAGATCATCCAGTCCAACCATCAACTCATCACCACCATGTCCACTAAACTATATCTTCAGTGACACATCTCCATGTTTCTTGAATGCCTCCAGGGACAGGGACTCCACCAGCTCCCTGGGCAGCCTGTTCCAATGCATTACCACTCTTTTGGAGAAGAAATTTTTCCCAATATCCAACCTGAGACTAACCATGGTAATGCGGACACCAAGCAAAATGCATAGGACCACTGCTCCTGAGCAACAGATGCTCCACTGAGCTGGTTGCTCCTCCAGGCTCAGCCAACCCATAGAGTTCCCCTGAGATGAATGAGAATATGGGAGACCCATCTCCATGGCGTGGTTGGCACATCTATGGAATAGGAATTGCCTGTTTGGGGTGGGATAAAAGGAGAACCCCAACAAACCTTGCACAGGTTGTTTGATGGGCCGTGGGGGCTCTGAGACAGTGAAACAGAGCCTTCGTGAGAGTTTTTGGGCTGCATTGTGGAGCAGGTGAAAGTCATCAACATAAATCACATGCTCTGCTGTGGGTTCCGAAGCTATTTTGTTCAGTTCATGCTTGTCAGCATCTTTAATTCCTATAGGAAGAAAAAAAAAAAAAGAGAAAGGAGGACCCCAGAGACTTGCAGTGGAGGAGGTCAAGCATTAGTAAAAGTCTTTGAAGAATGAATGGGACAAATGTACTGGAATGGAATGGAGCCAAAATCTGGGTGAGGGATTGTGGAGCAGATGTGGCCTCTTGCACAAGGGAAAAGAAGCCAAGTTTGTTTTCAGAGGCATATTAGAGACTGCCCAAGGGGACCTGGCCGCTAATGGGATGCTTTGGGTGGACAGTGAAAGGGAGGAGGGTAGGATCTGCCTTCATTTTCCCCATTAAACACAGAGGCATTTCTGTCCTTCTGACAGACAATCAGACAAAGAGAGTTTGAAGAGGCTGTGTGAAATTTTTTGGTTTTCCAGTGGCTGAATTAAAAAAAAATAAAAATAATATTAAAAATAATAAAAAAATCAACCATAATTTTGTGCTTCCATTGGTCCAAATTAACCTAACTGCTCTCCACAATAGAACACCACCAACTCTTTTTTCTCCCCAAACTGCTTGGCAAAGAGAAGGGTTTGACTTGTAATAAGTGGCTGTATTTGGCTTTTGGAAAGGGGTTAAAATTTTTCCATGCCTATGGAATTATTCTGATGGACAACTTAACACAGCTAAAGTCAGTCTCTAAATCCTGTTAAGAGAAACCTTCAAATGTGAAAAAAAAAACCCCAAAACATTTCATTTTTGAAAATGCCGCATCAAAACATTTTGACTTTAATGGAACTATTTATTGAACTCCTCCTGAATTTGCAAGTCATTTTGACAGATGCAAAACCACAGATATCAACTGAATAAATCAGCAGTCGACAACAACAAAATCCAAGCACAGTGCAGATGTGATTTTCCTGTTCATGCAGTAGTTGCTAGTGGCTGTGCCAGGGGATGGATGCAGTGTTTGGAGGTAGGTGCTGTTATACATCTGCAGCCTTCCCTGGTGTGTAGATTGTGTACAGTGTTTGTGCACACTGTATTTGGTAGCTTAGCATGTCTAGAATCTAGTTGTAAATATTTCTGTTCATTGTAGGGTAGCTGGATCTTTGAAGGTTCCTTCCAACTCAAACAATTCTATGATTCTATGTCCATACATACCTACAGCAAACACGGTCACTCCTGCATCCTGCAGGACTTGGGCTTTGTCTTCAACCAAATCACTGGATTTCCCACTTGTGATCAAAACAACTACCTAAAAGAATTGGAATCAGGGCTAGAGAATGAGAGAGCACAATATGAGGAGTTCAAAGAGTCAACTGTAGGATTTCCAAACCAACATCTCAGATCTCGGTTGAGATTTAACCCACAAGAGTTAGGAAGGAATTAAAACACAGATGCTTGAGAGATAATTCAATCAGTCCTTTGAAAATCTGGGCTTGCCTCTCTTTCTACCTCAGACCTGAACCTGAATGAGCTCATAAGTGAGGAACCTCAAAAACAAAAACAAAAACAAAAAACAGATAGGGTGAATGCAACCCAACTGGCTCATTCGTGCCTGGGTGAAACATCAGAACTCTGATCCCTACTGAGTGTTACATCAGAGCAATGGTAGCAGAAGGCTGCTTACCTTTGCTGCATCCTCTCGCAGTGTATCTGGGCGAGACATGGCATGAGCTGCAAATGCCAGGGCAGACCCCACTTTCAAGCTATTGCCTTTGATTGAAATTTCCTGAATTGCCACCAGCATTTCTTCGATGGTCACATAGTCTGTCAGTTCAATACACATCCTGGGAATGAGAAATGGGGGAATATGGGTGAATAAAGGGCAAGAAAATGTTTTTTATTATAGCAAGGATGCATCATTAATGGTAATGGCCAACAGTGAGGTTGACACTTAGATGGTTACACAAGGTTTGTAGGTAGTCAGAATCCTCTTTACAATGGTCAGGGGAGCCTTCTATCTATCTAAGATTAGAGAGCAGGGAGTTTCTTCTGTCTGATTAAGTATCACCCTCCCTATCTGGGAAAAGTTCCCCATGGCCAAATGTCTCTGTACTTTGCTGACCTTGTTAGGGGTTGAACTCTTGCTTTGCTCTTGCAGAGGTTCAACCAAGTAGCAAGAGCCCTTTATTAAGAGAAATAGTTTCTTAGCAAAAATTGTCCCCATCTAGAGCTGTAGGGCTATAGGAACCCGTGTGCTGGTGGTAGAGGATGCACTGACCCACCTTGGTTTCTCTCCATAGAGTGCCACTGCCAGCCGGATGCCTCCTTTGCCCATCACCACATTCTCAAAGGAGCGGGCCACGCTGCTGATGAAGTCCTTGAGCAGTCGGGAGCTCTCTCTCCCTGCACCCTGGGATTGCCCCACGAGGAACAGGACATCGGCCACCTCTGCTGTCCTGCACACTGAAGGAGAAGAAGGGCGGAAAAGCCCATCTCATGAGTTGGACTCAATGATCCTTATGCGTCCCTTCCAACTTGGGACATTGTATGGCTCTATGATCTCACCACACAGTGCAGCAGCCAGGAAAGAAACCCTTCATGTGAACACCTGGAATGTTACAGCTAAGAGAGAGACCCTCATCATCTTATAATCAGAGACAATGTAAGTCATCCAATGCACCTGTAGGGCCACCTAAAAGAACATCTTCTAGACTTGCATGCAGAGAGCCTGGGACACCCCATGCATTCAGATCTGCAATGTATTCCTCTTGCTAAACTTCCAGCACAAAAAAAAAGTCATTTGCAAGGAATGAACAATTTGAGTGTTTTTTTCTGTACAAGCCAGAACTAACCAATGGCAGCTGGCAGGGAACGGACAGGTGTATGAGAAAATCTGTTTAAAGAACATCAACTGTTCAGTTGTTTTAAATTTAATTTCACTTTCTTTAGGCATTCAATAAATACATTTCATGGACACAAATCTGGTGACTTTTAGGGATGCTTAAATTAATGACGGCTTTAAAAGGGAAATTCAAAATGTCTATTTTCTTTGGCATTTCTCTCTTTTGCAGATAGATGCTGAGCTATTACTGTTGGCCTGCTAAAAAGTGGAGCGTTCTGACTGCTGGAGGAAGGCTTCCACAGCAGGACTGGGGTCAACCTCTTCACTTTTTTTTTTTTTCATTTTGTTTCACTGATGCTTTGGACTTCATTCACTGCCTTGACTTTCAGCTGGGGACCCAACCCACACTCATCCAGGTTGGAGCATTTCCTGGGGTGAAGTGCTAGGTGGATTTTTCTCACTCTCTCACTATAGAAAGCCCATTTTAGCTCATCCTCTCCAATTTACCCAAGTTTTACCCCATTCCTAAGAGCAGGTTTCCTGTAGAGATTAGAAGGATGCAGGTTTTGTGCTCTCTTTCATTTCTACTTGTCCCTGATCAATCCCTTTGGCCACACAGCAGGAAAAGAGCATCATTTGCTGGCTGCAAACAGATATCTGTCCACAGCTCTTTGTTGCCCAGGGTTTTTCATTTCTTCATTTTTCATTGTGCCTCCTGATGCTGAGCTCTTTACAACTTAACAGTTCTGTTTACTACAGAAAAAAAAATAGTGACTGGCTCTTTTTGGTTTAACTTACCCAACTGGAAACACAAAGTACTTTCCCCTGACAAAAATGGCAGATAATTATTCCAATTTTCCTTTCTAGAGCTCCTTTTTAAGATCTCCTTTCCTTTCTCCATAAGTGCCTTTCAGCTGAAATGTCAGGGTTGTCTTGGAGGCAGCTCAGCCATTAACAGGAGATCACCATAAGCTTATTTTTGGATCAACCCCTCTCTCCCAAAGCCTGGATCTTGATGTCCCATCTATCCCAGAAGACTCTGAGGGAAAGCAACGCCAATCCTTGGCTTCCTCACAGCTTTCCACGTTATCCATAACCTGTGTTATCATGAGAAAACCCCAACAAAAGCTGAACAAGACTTAGAACACTTTCCAAAATCTTTCCCAGAATCACCCACACCTTGGGGTTCTGTGTACAGAAATTTCCTGGAAGATCTGCATCTTTATAACCAATCTGGAAATCTTGCTCAGAATGCAGTTGATATCAGAGGGCTATCTACTTCTACATCCCAAAACCCCAGAGAGAATCCTCCATCCATGACTTGTCCATGGGAGTCTTGCTCACGCTACAAAATGCTCCCACCCTCGTTTGCATTCAGGGATAACGAGGAGAAAGACAACAGTGAGCTGCAGGAGTTCCATGGGATTAAAAAGAGAAAGTCGGTGCCCTGTTCTCTACAAAGGGGCAACCAGAGCTCATTCTGTGAGACACTAAGCCAGAGGGGGCTGGCTTGGCAATGAAACCCAAATGCATTCACTACTTGGATTAAGTGTATCTGAAGCTGTCACTGGAAACATGTTATGTGAAGCATATTTGAATTGGTACCTTCTGGAGAAAATACCAATGCAGACAGCTATATTAATCACCAGGGAATATGATTTTATTTGAAATTTTCCATGCACCTCCAAAATTACCACGTTTCATCAATCACAGGTTTGCCAGAGACATCTGTAAACATTGATTTATTGCACTGTTCCCAGCTTCAAATTAAATAGCATTATAGTTGAGTATATTGGCTTAATTGACGGACAGGAACTTAATCAAGTTAATTTTGCCTTTGATGCCAAAGCTTCCATTAACTCCTTGTTGAATGCACTGAATTTACTCCAGGTGAATTTACACTTTCAAAGCTTGAGGGCTTGTTCCTGCAGAAGGATTCAAAGAGAAGGGCCCCACAGTTTCATACTGAGCCCACGGCACTCCTGGGAGCTTGCAAGGAGCCCTCCCTTCCCACAGGACCCTGAAGCTACAGAGACATGGGCTTGATTATGCTGTAAGTATTTGAAGCTCTTCTCCAGGATCCCTTTGGCTCCTGTCTTTCAGATCTGGTTATTCCTCATCAAAAACTCTGTGGGTTTGCACAGACATTGGGGAGCCAGGGAGGAGGTAGAACAACGTTATCATAGAATCACTTGAGTTGGAAGGGACTATTAAGATCAGCTATTCCAACTCCCTTGCAATGAACAGGGATATCTACAGCTAGAATGGGGTGCTCAGTCTTAACTCTAGGGAGCAACAGGAGGTTTCAAGGCTACTTTGAGATCTTCTGCCTCATGTCCTCTGGTTGGTGGCTTGTACCAGCTTTCAGAGATCACTGTTGGCCAGCCACTCCCAACCAAAAAGAAGATCCCTAATGAAAAAGTCAAAGGAACCAGCACTACAACTGCACCTCATACTCGCATTAGCAAAAACAGTTGCTTGGAAAACACTTTTTTCTCCTCAGTGTGTCATCACCACCCCCAGGGGTCACATTCACCCTCTTACCACATACCTTCGTGAACAGCCATGGCTCTGTAATGTGCCATGGCTACTGCCAGGGCAAGGATCTTGACATACATTTTCTTTTCCCTTTGGAAGAGGCCACACAGTTCCTGGAGTCAACACCCAGCCTGGAAATTCATTCATCTGCAGGAGAGAAGAGGCTTTAAAACATGCCATCTGAATGAGATGCTTCTACCTGCTTGCAGTAGTAAGGGAAGCCTTCTTCCATCTACCAAGGTTCATCCTGACTTAGGGAATCAGCCTTAAACTCCTTAAATTTCCCAATCACTTTGCTGAGGCTGGCTACAGGGCAGAGCTCTGCTTTGTTTTCCCAGCATCTTTCTCTGACAGCACCCTTCTTCAGGCAGTAACAACCATCAGCAATTAAACCTAAAGGTGAATATTACTGCTGCAGTAGAAGAGGGAAGCATCTGCTGCCTCAGCCACATGGGGAGCAAAGATCTGTCCATGAGCATCATTGCAGACATCAACCACTCACACTTTATTGGCCTGCTTTGCAAACATCCTCCAGGTCCCTAAATCCCATCCCTGGAAATCCATCCTATCATCATGGAGAAGTCAAAGAGAGCTGAAAGCTGTGGTTCTGCTCGCAGACAGTTAAGCAAAGTCCCCAAACAAATGCTCATTAGGGCTACAGAATAGCCCTTGGCAAAGCAGTGACTTATTTCTATGACGTAATAACTACATTGCAAGAAGGGGTTTTATTCCTTTTTTTAGCGGGCAATAAAAATTTGTTCTCCTGTTCTGAGTCTCACCTGCATGTCTGGGGCTGAGCAGACTTCAAAGGGAGACATGGACTATTTCCAGGGTGGAAATTACAGACGTGGGGAAAAGATGAGCTTGATGACTTCATCTAGCTTTTTGCCATGGATGGAAATTTTCTTACAGCTAACCACATTCAGCTTCAAAATTCCACTGCATTGTAGATTTGATCCCTTTTGGAAAACAAGACTGGGTGTGGGGTAGTCCAACCTAAATAAACCCCTATGTAAGATGAAGGTCAAGTGTCCACCTTAAAGAGGGCTGTTGTCACTTTGTTTATCATGTACACCAGCCTTTCAGACCATCAGGACTGAAGTGTACCCAGTGTGTTTTCTGTCTTTTTATTTCCCTCTCTATTCTAATTACTGTCTGTACTTGGAGATCTTTGCCATGCAGTGGTTGACTTGTGCTGCATACTTCCTCCCTACCTCCAGTGCAGTTGTTGTGGAAATGACTTCCGGGTGAAATCAACAGCAAAAATAATACAATCACCACAATTTGTAGGCTTTTAAAACATCCAAATAAAGGCTTAACAACAGGATCAAGCATCTAGGAAATCAAGTATTGGAGCTAAGATCTGAGACAACTGTTTCATCCCACATCTTCTGCAAGAGTCACATTGTAAGTTTTGATGAGTTCACCCCACCACCTCTCAGCATCCTTCTTGCAATGCTAACCTGACAGCATCCTCTTTTCCCTTCCTATTTATTTAATTCTCAGCTATGCAGTGCAGGGTCTGTTCTGGACCATGAGTGAACCCAGCACGGAGCACAAGAACACTCATCAACACCTTGACATGGACATTGAGCCATTGACCACAGCTCTCTGGCTGTGACCATCCAACCAATTCCTTATTCACCAAATAGTCCACCCTTAGAACCCACATTTCTCCAATGTAGAGGTAAGGATGTGATGCGGGACCTTGTCAAATACCTTGCACAAGTCTGGGTAGATGACATCAGCTGCCCTTCCTTTATCCACTGATGCCATCACTCCATCATAGAAATATAAACCAGGTGAAAGATAGTTTAGATTGTAAATACATCACTTTTTTTTCTGGGAATATATGTATTTAAAATAACATCAGAAATGCTATATATTATGCACCAAGATAGCTAATATATCCACTTCATATATGAGCACATATATGGCTGAGACTGGAAGCCTGCTCTCATACACTTGCTGGTCTGTTTGGGGTAGGCATCCAGAAAAGCTTAAATGCTAACATACATCTCTCTCCCTCCTTGTAATTCCAAGAAAATATTGTTCTGTTCTTAAAAACTTCCTTGGCAGAGTGATGAGCCACAGGGAAGGGGTCCATGGTGATGTCCTGGGAGCAATACACAGCCAAAGGGACAAAGGACAGAACTAAAAGCACATCTGAATGACCACCAATTGCTGTCCATGGTCACACGTACACAGGAAATTTAAAAAAAATAAAAATAAAAAATAAAGTAGCTAATAAATAAATCTGAGGTTTTGCAGTCCCCATGTGCTATGCTGAAGCACATTTTTAAACATCTGATATGCAATTCTTTCCTTTTTTTTCTTTTCTCCTCAGTATTGTTTAATGGTTCAGCACTGAACAAATACACTAAGAATTCGCATTGCAAAGGTGAAAGAAAGGATGCAATCCCATAGATTTCACATGTTCATGTGCAGGGATGAACTCATATGCAAACTTGCATGCAAGTTGAGCTTTTACACGTTACATTTTTGAACATGTTGGACTTGTGCTGGGTACTGCATTGGCACACCTGGATTTGCTCCTTCCATGCATTCCATCTTTCAGGATGCAACATTCTGTGTTGGCCAAGACCAATGAGGACTGCCATTTGCTGCACCATCCATCCTAGGGCAGCTCAGTTCAGTTTACCACTTAGGTGTCACCACAACACTCATTTCATGCATTAAATATTAGAAAAATGCAATCCAGCAGCTCTCAGCTCGTCTTGTAGACAATGACTGTCATCACCCTTGTTAAAGACCTCCTAAATCATTACAGAGAGCTACCAGGTTTAGTCGGAACAGGGCAATGACCCCATAAATTTCAGGGTTTTGCAAGCAATCCCAGTAATTTCTTTTATCTTTTATAGTGCCTGGTAAATAATCTATAGGAACAAATGTCCCCAGGTCCTCTAGGAGAACAAATAACCTCCAAACTCCAAAATGCTGAGGGACCAAGTTCTCCCTTTGCCACTCCTGGAACAGAAGAGTGAAAAGCATGACAAGAGGGGGAAGGAAGGAAACAGGTCTCACATACTTAACAGCAGTGCCAGAGGCTGAGCTGTTTCTCTGAATTTATTTTTTCCTGTGTATATGTTTGTAATAAACTCATATTCCATTTTGCTTTGCCAACAAATACGGAGATAAATAAATAACTCCTGTCAGCAAAGTCTGTCTAAAAATGACGGGACTCAGTGGGTTTGCAGACCCATCTGGCTGATGCTTGCCTCCTGTTTGGCTGCATCTCTAGCTGGATGCTATGCTTCTTTCATCCCTGGATCTCCCATAGCAGATGTTCCATCCACTAAAGAACTATCCCTGTTGCATACAGATAAAAAAACCTTCATCACAGTGCCACATCTGGGCACCCAGAGCCTTTCCAGATGATCCACTCAAACTCACATCCCTACTCTTACCACTGTGCCATGGTGCACATCATACAACCACACAGATCCTCCACCTCAAAACCCAGCAAAATCTTGACAACTTCAGTCAAATCTGACAAAGGAAAACAAATATTGGAAATATTTTCATACAGGTCTCCTGCAAACAGCTACCTGGGCAGAGGAAGCTTATCCAAGAGGTAATGGTCTTAAGTTGTGCTCAGGAAAGGTTCAGGTTGGACATTAGGAAAAATTTATTCTCAGAGAAAGCGGTGAGGCATTGGAACAGGCTGTCCAGGAAAGTGGGGGGAGTCACTGAAGGTGTTCAAGAAACATGGAGATGTGGCACTGAGGGACGTTGTTAGTGGGGGTGGTTGGGATGGGTTGATGGTTGGACTTGATGACCTGGGAGGATTTTTCTAGCCTTAATGACTCTATGGTTCTATTTGCAGCCACAGCACTCTAGGGCTTTGTTCATGGAGCATCATCAGGGACATCACAAAATCCTACTGAGAAAGCTCAGCAGCCCCACAGGAGATCACACTGAGGTGTGTAATAGAAATAGTGAGGTTGCCCTAAATGAAGAATTAATGGGAACTTCAGGAAGCAGCAAAGATACCAGCAGGACAAGGGTATGAAGAAGGTCCAATATTGGATGGCATCAGCGTTAACAGGTAACTGAGGTCCAAGCACATAGACATACCATTTTGCAGGACAATGAAGGAAAACGAAGAGACAGACTGCACCCAACCCAAAGCAAAGGCCAGGCACAAATCATTTGAGTGTCAAGATGAAAGATAAAAATAAGGACTTGAGGCTTAGCACGCCAACAAGGATTCAAAGGATGGAATAAATCCTAATGGCTCATAAAGATGGAGCGAAAATGTCACAGTTTTTCCCAGTTCCTAAAAAGTAACAAGAACTCACTCAAAATAAGCAGTGTAAGTAAACTCAGGAGGCAGGTTGAAGGTGCAATAGCTGGTGTCAATTTGAGCAGTATCAGCTTTGCAAGCAAACGTGTTCATAATTTGCTGCAGAGGAAATTCCAGCTCAGATTTTTGCTCCATCCCATACATCTCTGCTGTTTTAAGACTTCAGGTGCCATACACAACACACACCTTGATCTGAACACATAGACTCTGAGGAGTCCGTGCTGAGCCTCCGCTGGTTACCAACACCTCGAACCTCTGACCATCAGATAGAAGGAACTGCCATGAAGTGAATTGATCTTTTTTGTCCCAGAAAGCAAACTGCAAGCCGTGCAGCACTTGGCATTCCCTACCCAAGGCACCTCCTGCTCCCCAGTGCCAATTGCATCCTTGCTACCAGGATATCATAGAATCATTAAGATTGGAACAGCCTCTAAGATAATATAGTCCAATTCATGCCTGCGACTGCTCAAGACTGTATCACTCGGTTATGTTGTATAGGCATGGACATATCAGAAGAAGAAAGTGCAGCAAGACATGAGCTCATTCACTGCCATATGACAGAGCTAGTATCATGGAACACAGTGTTGCATCTAGACATTAAGAGGATGGATCAAAGTGGATGCGTCCTCCTGAAGCACCCCCTACTGTTAGTGAGAGCTATGGGCTGGATGATCTTTTCCAGTCTTGGTGATTCTATAATTCTACAACCCCAGAACTGGTCAGACTCTTGCCAGATGATATTTTGAGTAACAC